CAATAACAACATAGGTGGAAAATTTAGAGGCGGTGGAGAAGAGATAACCCTACAGGTTAAAATTCTGAAAATGTTTTTTTGAAGGCATAAACAAATTTTTAAATTCCCTACACAACACCCCTAACTTGTCACTTCTATGAAGCAGGACTCTTCGACTCCGAAAAGCTGGTAATTAGAAAACAGAAACTCCTGGTGGGTTAAACAGAAGCTCTTATTTTATAAATGCCTTCCAGAACTTTTGCTATAGGCTTAATGTATAGAGCAGGTGGTTTTCATTAGGGAGCTAAGGGTGTATTTCACAATGGGTGGGTGCTACCTCCCAGCCAACTATATTAAAAGTCAGCGATTGATGTAAAACGGTACCCATCCTGCCGCGGTGGAAGGCGGGTTGTATAAGTGTGGAAGGCAGATAGTATACGTGTACAAATGTGCGGAAGCCTGAATTCTGCGCGCGCGTCTGCGCTACCTTTCTTGATTGAAACAGCCCTGTAGCAAGAGGTCAATGAACCCTGCCCATCATGGCTGAAACCATTAGCACAAGGGACCATTCTTTCTCCTAAAAGTTCTTACATCTAAAACAAAATGAGTGAGGATGCACGCGATGTTTGATTTTTTTTTTAAGGCTCACCAACTTGTTACATTCAGCATTCTAATGTTTTCCCGACAAGCCCTTTGTCTTTTCATATTTAAACTCTCCTGTCTACTTAAATCTGTATGGGTTCCATGGGTTAAAACCTAATCCATCGCATTCAGTTGGCTTCTTAGAGCAGAAACTCAATATTCTGAAATACTTTCTGCTTCCTGATCTGCCTTCCTCAAACCTTTTATTACGGAGCGGGGGAAATAGAATGGGGGCGGGGCAGATGACTTTCTGAAAGACGTTTTACAAATTCTGAGACAATCAACTTAGACCTGAAAGAAAAATGATGACTTGAGCTCAGCATGTCATAACAGTGCAGACTGTCTTTCATTTACTCTACTGTGGTCTGACTCCTCAGGGAGGAGTCTCCGAAATGCCTTTCGGGGGTCCAGGAAATTGCCAGATATTATTCTGCATCCCACTGAGAGCTCTCCTATACTCTGTTCTCCTATGTTTTTTTTTTAATTCCTTGAATTTATTTTTTTTATTTTATTCCTTAATTTTTTATTTTTTTTTTATTTTTTTTTTTTTTTTTTGATTTTCGAGACAAGGTTTCTCCGTAGCTACAACTAGCTCTTGTAGACCAGGCTGGCCTCGAACTCACAGAGATCCGCCTGCCTCTGCCTCCTGAGTGCTGGGATTAATGGCCTTGGGTGGCCCCTGTGACAGGGTCATTTGACCCCCCCCAAAGGTGTTGAGAGACCCACAGGTTGAGCCAGTGTCCTAGACAGAGGGGAGAGGCTGCATCAGCAAGAGAAGAGCAGCCTTTCTCCACCCAGGGAAAGATCCTGCACCGGGGAACATCCTGACGGCTATAAGCAGACTCGAGGAGGAGGGAGGATGCTCAGCGTGGTCACTTTCTGCATCTTTTAGAGGCGGGCTCATGTATGTGCCCACCCTATGTCCAAGTAAATGAAAGCTGAATGTCAGATTGGGAGGAACCATGGTCATAGAAACAGGGGCCCAGATACCAATTCTAACCACCAGGGACTATGTTATAAAATGGGTACCTCACCATAAATCAGAGGCTCTGCTGAGATAAATCACTCTGGAAACCCAGAGTGACTGCAGAAACGGGTCTATGATGCTGTCCACGGTCTTGGGAGGAGGCATCTTTCCATGGATTCTACTACAAACAACTCACGTGGACGCGCAGATGTATTTATAGTTACATTTACTGTTTATGCTTTTCTCGGTACACTCATTATGAAGTATATAATTGACTCTGGATTCTCGGGGTTAAAAAGGCCACTAGTGTAGCTGTCCTCTGACGGTCTATGACACAACCAGACACTTGGCAGCAGATCTTTCTCTAGGAGTTCCACAGATAAGGAAATACAGCATGGGTAGACACTCGCTGTCCAGTTTGCTCAGAGCTGAGCTCTCTAAAATTCCCTTACATAGAGAACTGGTTGTTACTGACCAAACAAAACCCTGAGAATGGAGAGCAGACCAGCTCTGGCCTCTCCCTCTTTAGATTCATTGTCATTGATACATCTCGTATAGGTGGGATGGTCCCTTCTTGGGAGGGCTCTCAAAGAAGGACATCAAGCGTCCCCAGTGAGAACAGCCAAGGTCAGAAAATTCTTGGCCAGTCATAAGCTTCCACATTCTCTCAAAAGAGACGAAGGTTTTAGGGATTTTGTGACAGTATTAGTTTCTTCCTTCTTCCTTTTTTTTTTCCTTTCTTTTTTTAAAATTACTTAAGTGTACATGTCTGTGTCTGCATGAGCTTATGTGTACCACATGCACATAAGTCTGCAGTCTGGTGACTGCAGACGCCAGAGAACTTCGGGCCCCCTGAAACTGGAGTTACAGACGTGGGTGCTGGAAATCAAACTTGGGTCTTCTTTGACAGCAGTAACACTCGTAATTGCCGGGCCATCCTCTCCAGGATATACGAACTTTGTATATTTAAAAATATTTAGGGGTCTGTCAAGATGGCTCAGTGGATATAAAACACCTGCTGGACAAGTGTAGGGAGCTGTATTTGACTCGCCAGCACCCAAATGAGGCTGCACATAATAGCACATAGTTGTAATTTCAGCACTCATAGAGTGATAGGGAAGACGGAGACAAGAGAATCCCCCAGCTCAGCAGCAACCAGCAAGAGACGCCGCCCCAAGGCAAAAAGCAAGAACTGACACTCCAGGTTGTTGTCGTCTGCCATGCAGGCTATGGTATGCGCACGCCCGTGCTCAGACACACAAATAGGCACACACAGATGCACACATGTGACGACCAAAAGAGGACAATATATTGAGAACAAGATGACCGACGCAGACCCCTTTCTTCAGACTGAAGCTTCCTAGCCACTCTAGATTGATACATTTGTTCCTAAATTCAATTCAACATTGTCTTTATGAGGGAGAAAAGGCACAAGTCTCTTAGAGACGGGGGAAACATTTTGTGCCTCGGCTTCCTCACTGGGGGAAAAAAAGAGGATATTAGCAGTGCCTGTATGATGTGCTTATGAGGAGTGAATGATTCTTTCATGTGAGCGGCTGTTACAGCGTCATATATGGGGTAATTCCTCACTGCCTCGTGATAAATGGGGACATGGTTTGTAAGCGTGTGAATCCAGGGTACGATACAAAATAATATCAAAGGGGAAGGAGATGTCACTATCACCCGAAGGCTCTGCCCACTGGCCAGAGTCTGTGTGTAAGGCTGCTGACAATCAGTTGTTTTTGCTCCTTTGCTTTGCCGAGACCCGTGATAAAGTTACACCCCCTCCATCCGTTTTGAACCAGATGTGACTGGTATGCCCTGCTCTAGCCAACTGCGTAAGCAGAAAAGGCACATGTTATCGCGAGATGGGCCCTTTAGGAGGCAGAGTACGATGTGATTTGCTTTCTTGCCGTGACTACAGTGATTATGAGAACACTAGGACATGGCATCGCCACCCGCTGGGTCTTGAACACGGCGAGCCAGAGCCCTGCTTTAATCTTGAATCCACATTTCATGAAGTCAGAATAATTTACTGGCACCTGACATCTCCATTATTTGGAAGTTACTGCTTGCTTCCGCAGATTCCTCATAGATAAACCACACTGGCACATACTGCTGATGCTACCTACCTTTATTATTAATGCTATCCTGGACACTTGCGAATGTGTGTATACAGAGTGAGATTTCTAACACAAGAAACTAGAATCCACTTGGAAGAAATACATTCATTCTTACAGAGATAAATTCAGTTGGAGCCCTTGACCAAGTTTCTAAAAACGTCTGTTTTAACATTTAAAGGGTCCTAGCGAGCTAGCTCAGTTGGTCAAGTGTCTGCTGGGCAAGCATGAGGACCCACGTTCACATCTCCAGCACCCATGTAAAAATCCAGGCACAGAAGCACGCTCAGAACTGGGGTGGGGTAGAAAGGGGGAAAGCCTGTGCCGAGGTAGACAAAGGCAGGCTGCCAGAACTTGCCGCTAACCAACCTAGCTAATCAGTGAGCACTCGGCTCAGTGGGAGACTGTGTATCAAAAAATAAGAGAGCTTTCATATGTCCACAGGGGGGCATGATAGCCTCCACGTGCCCAAACAGAGCCATGATAGCCTCCGCCTGTCCACACGGGGCCATGATAGCCTCTACCTGTCCACACGGGGCCATGATAGCCTCCACACGTATGCACGGGGCTATGCCTAGCCACATGCATTTATGAATGCACCACAAACACAAAATCAAAAAAACAAACAAAGCCAAGAGCTGTGTACACGGATATAAAAGGAAAAGGGAGGCCGCTAAAAGTGGATGTCAAGCTAGTGGATTTCATTAACTCAAAGGCTACCTTTAAATTAGGGTTTCCAGAATTTGTTCATTCCTTCTTTCCTTTCTTCCTTCCCCAAATTACTGTAGACAAAAAGCCCAGACACTCCACCATTTAAGTTCTAAATGAGCCAAAATATAAACCAAAACAAGAAAGCCAACCCATGTGGACATGGCCACCTCACCGTCTTTGTTGGTGACAGACAAATGAAGCTTTTCTGCCAGGCAAATATTACAAATAATCAAGTCGGGCGGTGGTGGCGCATGCCTTTAATCCCAGCACTCAGGAGGCAGAGGCAGAAGGACCTCTGTGAGTTCTAGGCCAGCCTGGTCTACAAAGTGAGTTTCAGGACATCCAGGACTGTTACACAGAGAAATGCTATCTCAAAACAAACAAACAAAAGCCCAGCATTTCCTCCATGGGGAAGGTGCTCAATATTCAGATGGTTACCAGTTCATGGCTATATAGATTTTGTTCCATCTAACAGAAGAGTAGAATCCTGCTTAGATCCCTTCACAAACTAACCAGGTGAATGTCAGCAAGGCAAACCTCAAGTTCAAAGGCCTGGTTGTTTCTCTCTGGACGCCATTTACCTGCCCAGTATCTCTGATGGATTGCTCTCTCTGCCTCCAATTGTCTTTGTGTAGAACTTGAAAATAATATTCTTGATCCCCACACGGGGCAGCAGTACGTTTCCTGACACGTCAGGATCTCACAGAAAGTGATTTCAGGCACTTGAGGGGAGGTCTGCATGGTTGCCAAGGTTGTGTGAGAAGCTGCAAGACAGTGAGCGAAGGAGGGTCACACAAAGTCGGGGCACAGCGAGGGAAGATGGGTTGGGTTTATGGTTAGGAACAGGATGACCGTACCTGGAGGGGAAGCTGTGGATGAAAGAGCTGGCTCCGGAGAACTTGTAATATTGCTGGAAGAGTACAAAATGGTTAGTGAAATAGGCCTTCGAGAGTCCTCTTAGGACTGAACCAATGGCTCAGTGGGTAGGAGCATTTGCTTCTCTTCCAGAAGATTGGACTTCAGTTCCCAGCCCTCATGTCAGTGAATTCAGTCAACATAAACCTCCAACTCCAGGGATCCAGTGCCCTCTACTGGCCTCCTCAGGCACCCACATACATATACACATATGTAAGAATAATTTTTTTAAAGTCCTCCTCTCGAACACAAGATCTGAATTCTTACCTCAGAGGGTGGTTTGGGGAGTGCCGGTCCTGATCCTTTAAGCTAAGTATGTAAAGGGCAACTATTGTCAAGGCACTGTTAAAGGGGGAGAAAGCATTATGTATTATAAAAAATATTATATATATTTATATAATAATTTATGTATTAATATTTGTATATATTATAAAGCATTAGATATCTCCCTCAAGCTACCAGCTGGCCAAAGACGTACTCACAGGCCACACAGATGGGAGGAGGGGGGAGAGGGAGCTGGAGCTGGCAGGAGCACCATGGAAACCAGCAGAGTGAGGTTTTTCTGCCTGGGAAAGAGAAAGGAGCCCCAGGCTCCCAGTAGTTCAGAGGCTCAGAGGAGCGCTCCACAGAGCTGGCTCACCCTGGCAAGCGGTCACTAGAGGAAACCTGTCAACAGCTGGAGGCAGCCCTCTGCCCCCTGCAGGAAAGATAAGGTCAAAACTCACTTCCTCCTGGTGGTACTTATCCACGCTGTTGAGTTGGGAGATGAAAGGAGGCAGAGGCCAGTCATGGACCCCCCAAACCCTTTGGTCACCTCCAACATCATTCGGAGTTCAATGTATCGCATTGCGTAGAAGGAGGAAAGGAGACGGAGCACAGCAGCCGCATGACACGACTCCAAAATAAAGAGCACGCCTTCCCTCTCATTATCACAATCTATACATCGAAATTCATGTCTTCCTGAACGGTTCCCGGGTTTGGGACACAAATCCCAGCAGTGTTTCGACATCTAAACGTTGTGTGTCTTCCCCTCTGCGGGGAGATTTTAGGCTCTCTCGTGAGTCACATAAACGTCTGCTGGGAATAAGGTCACCAGACTTGCTGCCTCGCCAGCCTCACTTCACACCTTGCTTCCCAAACTCAACGCCTCGGGACTCTGTTCTCCCGTGAAGGTGGCAGATTTACCCTCACAGCCTCAAAACCAGGAGCTGTGCCCCAGATGGTTTCCATCCGCAAGAACGGAACTCCAAATGTCTTCTTAGAGACAGCTGGTGGATACCCAATACTAAGTCTGAAGATGTGTCAGACAGATCGCCCTGGCAACCATTTACTGTGGTCCAGTTTCCCTTGCTTTGGGTTTTTCTGTGTCTCTCACTCTCTGTCTCCTCACTATTCAGTCTAAAATATTTCCCCTGGTTTGTGGTTGACATCTGTCTCGATGCACAGGCTGGACAACTTCTAGTGCATTGTAATGAAATAGACATATGCTCTCTTCAGAGGCAAACCCAGGTTTTGATCCTTCTCAGATACGACAGAGCCCACAACCAAGATATGGAGACTATGACCTCCCATTTGTGATCCTACTACCCAACCCTGGCCTCAGGAGATCTCACAAATGGGCTCTAAATGCAGCGACTTTACTCAGAACTAGACTTCCTGGCAGTTCTTCACATGGCTGGGGTTGCATCTGCAGAGCATATGAAGTATATCTCTAAAAGTAGATGCTCACCCTCCCCTTGGCTGGAGAACTTAACAGATGATGAGCCCTGAGGAAAACAAGGAGAAAAATGCAATGGTTCCTGATAGGGATTTCAGGTCATGACATCAAATCCATGGGCATATTCCCACCATGGGCATTAGTTGGACTGGACAAAGGTTATAATCAATGAGAGAGCACGTGTTTAGCATGCTTAAAGCTCAGGATTTAATCCCCAGGGCCAAACCACTCATTCACTCACTCACACAATCATCTAAATTTAAAAGCAAAAAGTTGAGGGCAGAAGGGCTGAGATCCACCTACCCAGTGACCTGCAGCTAGGGAGCACCTTTGACCCTTCACTTGCTTTCCCTCTGGAACAACCATCTTCCTCCCTTTTACTATGCCAGACAAGAAAATACTGTTCACCAGGGTGGTGGTGCACACATTTAATTCCAGTACTCAGAAGGAAGAGGCAGGAGGATCTCTGTAAATTTGAGGTCAGCCTGGTCTACAGAATGAGTTTTAGGACAGCCAGGGCTAAACATGGAAACACAACAACAACAAAAACAAAAATCAAAAAAAGAAGGAAAAGAAGGAAGGAAGGAAGGAAAAAAGGAAGGAGAAGAAAATACTGTTTATAAGCCCAGAGAACAAATCTCTCTGTCTCTGTTTCTCTCTCTCTCTCTCCCTCTCTTTCTCTCTCTCATACACACACACACACACACACACACACACACACACCATGGTCTGTTGCTAAATCACAACTGATTGAAAAGAATAAAACCATCGTTCGTCTCACATTGGCGTACATAAATCCAGTTGTCTTTCCTTCAAGATACGAATTTCAAAGGGGCTCCCTCAGTTTTAAGCTATCAAAGATCGTACCTGATTTAAAAGGCTCCTTGTCTTCAAAGCAAAGAGAAGGTCAGTCTCCAGTTCATGTGTGAGAAAAGAAAGGCAAAAGAGAAAAAAAAAAAAGAGCTTGATAGCATCCCAGGGAAGTTTTTCTTACCAAAATGTCATTACAGCAATTAGAGCTATAACCAGTGTTTGGAAGACCCAGTTAGGACAGGACTGTTTCCTCTCTGTGAAGGAGACCTGCAAGAAAGTCGGTGAACGACAAATCAGAACAGCAGCTACGAGGCCTGAAGACCCAAACCAGTGGGGTCTTTGCTGTCTCCCGAGGATAGTGACTTCTCACTTGCCTCAGTTTACATCTGCCCCCTCTGTTCTTGCCTCTCTGAACACAACAATCTCATCCAAGGCCTCCCTTCACTAGTTGCTGCAGACTACAGTAGCCTGGCCTTTCCCAGGCATCTGTAGGACAGCTGTGCATAGGATAGACGAGAGCGGGAACAACTAAGAAATTGCTTTAAATTGTCCTTTAGTTGTGTCTTGGACTTGTTATCTGGTAAAGGAACACGTTCTTTAGTGCAAAGAGGGGGTGTTTAATCATATACTTTTTAACACGCACAGATGCCCAGGGGCTATTAGCACTGAGTCTTTCATGAATGCCACCGGAAGCAAGTCTGAATGTCACCAACTCTGTGACTGGTATGAACCCCTCCTAACTCTGTCTGGGAGTGTTCTGAGGATGTCTGAGTGTTGCCATGCAGAGAAAGGGCTCAAAGGACCTTGTTGAACCGATTGGCATCAACAGTATTACTTGTAGAATAAGTGCTTCCCCCATCAAGCTGCTGGAGTGTGTGTAAACCTCCTTGATTTTGCCCCCAGTCCTTTGCACACACATTGGGAAATGACTGAGAGTCAAGTCCGGCACAAACCTCTATGTCATTCATCCTCATCCTCCTGAGGAAAATGAAAAAAATGCCCAAGTGCTTCTCTGAGTTATTAAGGGACCCGATTAACAATGTAACAATTCTCCAATTTGGATATACCTAAGGATTACTATGGAGACTGTCAAAAATCTAAACAACTCACTCACTATGAGTGTGTGAGGTAACCCAGACTCAAAAAGACAAACATCATGTGTACTCACTCATAAGTGGCTTTTAGACATAAAGCAAAGAAAAATCAGCCTAAAATTCACAACCCCAGACAACAAAGAGAGACATACGTGGATCTAATCTACATGGGAAATAGAAAAAGACAAGATCTTCTGAGTAAACTGGGAGCATGGGGGATCATAGAAGCAGAGTGGGGAAGAAGGGAGGGGAACGGAGAAAAATATATAGTTCAATAAAAAACAATTTAAAAAATCCAAATGCCCTGGCAAATTCTGTCTCCGCAGGTTTTATTTGGAGTGAAATGTATACAGTCATTCTCAGCAAACCCCCCCCCCCATCCACTTATTCAGAATTCTACCTTGGACTGTTAAGTCTTCCCGGCTCATCTACCACTGTATATAGCAGCTATCTACCTATTGGCGGTGGAGAGAAACAGAGAAAAGTAAGGGCTGTCCTATGGAATGAATGCATTAGCACTAGATGAAGGTGACCTCAGCTTCCTCCAGAGTATGTCTTGGCCAGCACTGCGAGCCGTGTGGTCCCAGCTTTGCTTCTTACCCAAGGTCCATTACCTGCAGGTGGCAGCATTTTGATCGTCCACATTCCTCACTCAGCCCAGGAGCACCACTCTCTACCCACGTGACCCAAGGAAGCCCTAGGGGCAAAGGTCACCTAGAGAGTTGGTAGTAACAGGCAAGGGAAGTCAACTTCACAGAAACACAGAACATTGCCAAGAAAGCACAGGCGTGAGAGAAGGAAGCATCATTATTGGCCCTCAGTCAAGCTCCCTGGACCGTTTCTGCTACACACCATGAGAACCACAAAGAGAGTGGGTTTGAAACATTAACAGTCATGAATGTGCACCCAGCGCTGTGTTCCAGGCACTCTCCTCTGTGCTCTACGTACACTAATGTAGATAGCATCCTCACGATTCCCCTCCCCGACCCTTTAAGGAAGATGCCTTGACCATCCACATTTTGGAGACAGAAGAAGGCAGTCATCAGACACACAATGCTAAAAAGTCATGAAGACAGAATTTGAGTTAAAATTTTCTGGCTTTGTGATCTGTGGGTATATGTAAAAATAAAAAAAAAAACTGTGCTATGTATGTAAAAAATGAGAAAACATGCAACTTAGGTGTTATGCAAAGAGTCCCTGGGGCTTATCAAGGAACACACATGTATGTGCATGTGTGCGAATGTGCGTGTGTGTGCATGTGTATGTATCCATGCATGCGTGTGTGTGTGTGTGTGTGTGCGTGCGTGTGTGTGATGTAGCATTTTTCCTCTGCAAGTGAAACATTTTATCTTGCAGAGAAAGTTCCTTAAGACAGAAAACCAACAACACAAAATATCTCCGGGAAGTTCTCCAAACTAACCAGATTTATTAGAGTCCTCCCTCCCCAGAGCAGACAGACAAGCCACAAAGGCTGTTGAGAGACACCCTAGACAAGATGGAAAGAAAAAAAGAGGAAGAAGAAGGAAAAATAAAACAGGGGAAACTGTGGTCAGGTTGTAAAATAAAAAAAAAAGTTTAATTCAAAATAAATAAATAAAACCAAACAAGCAAATAAAAGTGCTCAGACAAGACCTCAAGAACAATGGCAACGGGTTTTTGATTCTACTGGACCTATTGGTTTCGTGGGAGCCAATTACGTGGGAGGCAGTTACGTGGATGCTCACCTTACTAGACCTGGATGGAGGTGGGTGGTCCTTGGACTTCCCACAGGGCAGAGAACCCTGATTGCTTTTTGGGCTGACGAGGGAGGGGGACTTGGTTGGGGGAGGGGGAGGGAAAGGGGAGGCGGCGGTGGGGAAGAGACAGAAATCTTTAATAAATAAATTAATTAATTAAAAAAAACTCCTAAAAAAAAAAAAAGAAAGCTAGACACATTGATGAAGCTGTCCCTAGTATTTCATGTGAAATTATCAGTAATGTCCTTGTGTCTTCCTAAGTGACAAATGTGTGGTGTCTGTCAGAATAAAATATGGTAGAATTTAAAAAAAAAAAAAGTGCTCAGACAAGCCTAGCCCCTCCCCCCGCCCCCAGGAAGAATCAGAGACCAGTGGGACCACATAGATGAAAAAGAACCCCCTGAGCTGCCTAGAAAAGACTCAGCACAACAGAGCCTCCAGGAAAGGACACTCTCCACCTGCTGAGCCGCCAGCAAGTTGTGCAGTGTGCCCCAGGCTCCCGGCTTTGTGAGCTGTCACCCACGCTGGGGTGACCTGCGGTGATGCAGCTGTCTTTGAGTCACTTCTCCTCCTCTGAGTAACTTTTCACCCCTAGCCCTGAAAGTAGCCCCGATAAAACTCATGGTTCACTAGGCTGGACTTTTGTGGTATCCGAGCTATCGTCTGTCATTGGTTTCTCGTCTGAAGGGAGCTTGTTCATGTCACCCCAGGAAGAGTGACTCACAGCAATACATACATACACGTGTGTGTATACATAAGTATATACATGCATAAGTATAAAGAAGTTTGTGTGAAGTTGATGTTTCAGGTGAAGGCTGTTGGGGTTCACTAGATGGGGTTCATGTAAATAATTGGTAGGTTGTTTCTGAAGTGGTCTAGTCCTTGTTCTGGAGTCCTTGGCTTTTGTTGTTTAAAAAAAAAAAATAGATACAAGTCATTAACACCTGTGGAAGGATGCAGACTAGGAAAGCAGACGAAGGCTGGCTGATCAATTTCTCTAAAATCGCGCATGTGTGTGTGTGTGTGTTTGTGTGTGTGTGTGTGTGTTACTGTGGATTGAAAACAGAGCCACTCCTGTGTAAGACAAGTGAAGTACACTCACAGATGCTTACAAAGTTGCCCAGGCTAGCCTTGAACTCATTTTATACCCCAGGCTATAAAATGCAGGCTTTCACTTTCCATCCTCCTGCCTCAGCTTCCCACCCCAACCCCCACTCCATCCCCAAGTAGCTGGGAGACAGATTTACACCAGGAGGCTCAGCTAAGGCTTTAGTTTGTGTAGAAAATACCATCTCTGTTCATTTTAAATTTCACTCTATTTACCTTGTTGGGCTTTTTGGAAATGGCCCTTCTTGGTGAAGACGAACTAACAGCTCTGCTAAATTTGCTTTAAAAAGAAAGAGAGAGAGAGAGAGAAAGAGAAAATTGATTACTATTCAAATGCCTCTCTAGGAGGTTTATGACAAAGGCCTAGGCTTTCACAAACACAGCAGGGGGACTTCTCTTTTGTAATACAGTGATAATTTGAAAAAGGAAAAGTCAAAGCAATTGGAGTTCTTTTGTGGGGGGAAGGGGAACCATTAGTAAGCCTTAATGAATGCAGTAACACTATTTCTTTCTCTCTTTTTAAAAAAAGAACTAGAACCCAGGAAATGTGCATTTAATTCCTTAAGTAAGGAAAAAACAAATGATAAAATAACTAGACCCCTGGGGATCGAACATAATTTTTTTCTAAATTGAGAAATGACCAGCTCTCCTCCCTAAAGGGGAAGACGTCCTTCTGCTAATATTTAGCACTTCCTCTGATGGCCGAGGCTCTCAAACAGATGCTTCTTTCGCTTCATTCGAAGAGCACCCACAGGAAGAGGAGTGACAGAATTATCAGGAGGTAGTGTGTACTGAACTCAGCTAAGGGAGGACTGGGGACCTCAGCGCCAGAAACTGTGCCTGTTGCTCCATCCACAGTGCCTGGCAGAATGGTCTCCCACGGGAGGAGCCCACTCTTCCTTCCCCAGAGTTCTGTGGAGATTCTGAACTTACCTGACTGAACTGGCTTCACTGACAGAGGACTTCCAGCTGCTACTGAGGCGCTTTAGCCTGGCCAGTTTCTTGTTCCAGATTTCCAACTCTTCTATTCTTTCTTCCAGATTGTTGGTCAGTTTACAGAGCTGCTTCACCGCCCCGACGTTCTCCATGAAGATCTGGTCCTGGAAAGGAACACAAGGCAAGAGTTTGAGGTCAGTGGGAAACTGTCCACACACAACCCACAGACAGAAGACGCTGCTGGAAATGGTTATATATAACTTGAAGTTTAGGTCAGGAGAAACCTGAAGTGGCTCGAACCTCGGAACAGGCTCGCTAGACTGCCAGCTGTGATGTAACACTGCTTCTGATCAATTTGCAATAAGACGAAAATATGTCCTTGCAACCCAAGAGATGAAATGGGACTGAAGGACAGGCAGGCTTGAAGTCCGAAAACATTGTCTATGACCACTGTGCTATGTGTAAAACCCATAAAAAGAAAGTTAGAACAGGCTTTCAAGGACTGAACCTTCTTACAAAGTGACTCCAGCTGTCCCTGGTAAAATGTGTACCAAGATGTTCAGCTGACGACGGAAGCTTAGCCAGGGGTCGGAGCATGGACCCACACACATCTGTAACTCCAGCATCCAGAGGCTGAGGCAGGAGGATCATGAGTTCCAGCTAGTCCGAGCTGTAGAGGGAGCTCCAGGCCAGCCTCAGCTACATATAGAGACCTTGTCTCCAAAGAGAATTTAAAAATAGAACACAGACAACATCACTCTAAAGGCCTGGTAACACCTAAGAGCTCTGCCACCAGGTAAAATGTAAGGAGCTCTTTAGAGTTGTTTATAAATGAGATCACTCTGGAGATGAAATTTCTACTCCTGAGTGACTTTTCATTCAAATTTTTTAAATCTGACTTTCAAACAGAATTTTAAAAATACAGTTAATTCCTTTGGTTCAGTGAAAGTCACCAAAACGTCCGAAAGGACAAAGAAAGATGACAGAACTTGCCAAAGCCAGGATGCCCGGGTCAGTCCCTCCCCAACCTTCAGGATCTATTATGTTCTACTGTGAACACATGTGTCTAGTTTTCATAATAAAAAGCACTGGTGTGTGGTACAGCGAAGGGTGCCAGGGTCAATGACTCAAGGTCATGGCTGGGAGGGCAAACTTGGAGTGCTGTGTTTGGGGTTATAACCCTGAAAGCCAGTCATTGGAAAAGGAACTAATGTATGGTATAGAGTATGCAGGCCTGGAAATGAATTAATTAAACCTGTTATTTTGAAGAGCGAATACATGCCAATGCAGTGGGGACACCGGATATATGCTAATACAGTGGAGATCAAAGCTGAACATTCCAGAGTTAAGGTACAGTGTGTGCAATTGTGTTTCTTTGGTTTTTCGAGACAGGGTTTCTCTGTGTAATAGTCCTGGCTGTCCCCGAACTCACTCTGTAGGCCAGGCTGGCCTTGAACTCACAAAGATCTGCCTGTCTCTGCCTCCGTGAGTGCTGGGATTAACAGCGTGTTCCACCACTGCCCAGTCAGTTTGTGCAATTTTCAAGACATGTTTGTCTTGAGAAACATTGAATGATCTTAAATTCCAGCCAGGCAAGGAGGTCTACTGATGCCCCCTGACCTTGTCACTGGCCGTTTGTCCAGTTGGTTGTTGCATGCTATTTCACTATTTAAATGGAGAGTCTGTGGTGAGCGAGCATTGTGCCAATTCTTTGTTAAATCACAAATGGCAGCAGGCAAATTGAGAGGTGCCAAGTTAGCAAGTTGGAAAAGCTTTGGGAAGCTAAGGACCAACAGCTTCATCTCTGAGGCCTATGCTTGTTGTAAGGGTGTGTGTGTGTATTCTAAAATCTTTTCCCCCCTCTAAAAGCTTTTCAGATAACCTTTAAAAACCTGCCTAAAACACCTAGTGATGAACAGGCAATGGAGCAGAAGACAGCACAAGCCCAGCAAACGTGCATCTGTGGTTGTTTTCTGAGCCGGTAACGCCTGTTTCTAGAAATCTGTTCCCTAGACTGACTGGGAAAATGCGAGATGGAGGGGGAAAAGAGACTGACATCAACTCAAATACCCATCAGTCGGAGGCTTGATGATGAGAAGATGACAATGTTAGAATCAAAAATGCAGGACAGCATACACGGACAAGCCATTTCCTCTACAAATGCGGAAGAAATACAAAATGTGCCCATTTTCTCTTATCGAAGAGTCAAAAATTGTAATTTAAAAATTTTATACGTAACAGGAAAGAAGAAGCAAGGTATGTAAAATGGATAAAGCCAGGCTCTCAGACTAAACCTTCATATCTATACCCTATATAATATGTATTACATATGTCACACATATGCAAACCTGCCTTTAGAATAATGCGGGTCTTCTACGTTATGTTCTCATGCCCAGGTGAAATCTACCCTCTAATTGTTCAATACATATATCAGGTAGGAGAGTAGATGGGTAAGGTCCAAGAGACTAGAAAGAGGTTGTGAAGCTGGGAGAAAGGATGGTCCCAGGGGGTAGGGTAGGGAAGACAACAGAGCGACAGTGAATAGGAGAGGCTGGGGTGACAAGGTACAGTAGGAAAGGGCAGGGACATAGGGGTGCCAGGGCTGGGAAAAACCAACCAAATATAGGAAAGGGGCAGGGACATAGGGAGTGTCAGGGCTGGGAAAAGCCAACCAAATATAGGAAAAGGGCAGGGACATAGGGGGTGCCAGGGCTGGGAAAAGCCAACCAAATATAGGAAAAGGGCAGGGACATAGGGGGTGCCAGGGCTGGGAAAAACCAACCAAGTATAGGAAAAGGGCAGGGACATAGGGAGTGTCAGGGCTGGAAAAAAACAACCAAGTATAGGAAAAGGGGTATGGACATAGTGGATGTCAGGGCTGGGAAAACCCAACCAAATGCAATGCATGTGAAAACCCCATTTGGAAACCTATTGCTTTATAAAGTTATAGAATGAAGATAAAAATACAATAAAATGCAGAGAAGGAAAAGATACTGGGGGTATTTTTTTTTAAAAAACTGGTGGACCATGATTATACCAAAAAAGCATCTTGTAGAGAAAAATATAGGAATAACACAATGTGGTCCCGAGTTTCCGGTTTAACCTTACAGATATCATTTATTTTCAAATTTGTCTTCAGAATAGTAACTGACTAGTTCTTCTTAGAAAGATATGTTCTACATATCAACATATAAATAATTAGCAATGAAATCTTAAACATTTAATAATCCTACTGTTCGTAATAATAATAAGGGATTATAAGTCCACATACACCACATATGATTATAACAGATTATAACAGATACATAATTGTGATAGAGACCTGGGGATTTTAAGCATTTAAGATACAAGATATAAATACAAAACTGAACATATGCATAAAATCCTAGCAACTCCAAGTTTAAATTATAAGTATCACCATGGATTCCTGATGTATTCTTTCTCCTTAGAGGAAAACCACTTCCTAGCCTTACCCATGAGAAAGTATAATAGCAAGATGTGTCTGATCCACTAACAATGAGCACCTTCATTGTGGTCTCCAGGCATCACTCACTGGAAAGAACCAGAACTTTTGGGAGGAGAAGCAGCCTCGGGTTTGGGGCAGACAGGGATGAAGGGAGAGCTCAAACAGCTGTCTGGGGATGCTAAGAATGACCACCCAGAAGGGTAACCAGGAACCACGCGAAGAAGCCAGAGAGCATCAAAGGACAAATGGCTGGACTAGATCAAAGAATCAAATGTGTTTTAAAACTACCTATAGTTATAAGTTGTACCCAATTTAAAAACGTTTTTTTGGTTGCCTTCAGACAGTATTACAGGCTTAACTTTTTTTTTTTCAGAAAACTCAAAGAAAAGAAGGAATAAAGTTTTGATTCCTCAACTGCATGTCCACTACATATCTAGTAAGGAAAAGTCTCTTCATCTTAGTAGAATGCCAAAGATTAAATAAAGAATGATAGAGTATCACCCCAATAAAATGGTAGATCCAATAGAAAATGATTCTCAATAGCTGCCTAAATCAGATGGACATATGTATTTTTTTGTGTGTGTGTGAAATATTCTTTTTGTAAAAACATCAACAACAACCACTTGTGAAATTTCAGAACCAACTGTGGTAAAATATACCATAATTGGTAAATTTTTGTATGTGATAATGGTATATTAGTTTGGTTTTTAAGAGGTGGTCTTTTGATGTGAGAGTGCCCTCTGTGTGCTGTGATTATCGTTAATGAGTAAAGAAACTGCCTTGGCCTGTTGATAGGGAAGAAAGAGCTAGGTGGAGAAAACTGAACGGAATGCTGGGAGGAAGAAGGCAGAGTCAGGGAGATGCCATGGATTTGCGGCCACAGGTAGACATGCTAAAACTTTGCTGGTAGGCCACGACCTAGTGGTGATATACAGATTAATAGAAATGGGTTAAATTAAGATGTAAGAGTTAGCCAATAAGAAGTCAGAGCTAATGGGCCAAGCAATGATTTAATTAATACAGTTTCTGTGTGGTTATTTCAGGGCTAAGCTAGCCTGGCGGATGGGACAAACAAGCGAACCCTCCTCCTATAGTCCTTCCCTTTCAGAAAAAAAACGTCGTCAGCCTGGAGAGATGACGCCACATGTAGCCTTTGCTGTGTAAGCACCAAGATGTAAATTAGACACCCAGAACCCAAGGGGAAAGAACCCAGGTAGGCATAGTGATATACACTTGCAACTCTAGCTCTGGGAGACAGAGGCAGGCAATCCTGAAGGCTCATTGCCAGACTTTCTAGACTGATGAGCGAGCCAGTGAAAGACTCTATCTTAAAAACAAGGTTGGCAGTCCTTCTGAGGCCATGATTATCCTCTAGGCTTCTGCATGTCTGTGCTGTACCACACACACACACACACACACACACACACACACACAGTGGGGACAGGGGAGAATATGTTAAAGTATCTATAACAAATTGATATAACTTTGGAACTTGGCTTAAGTAATTTAGTTGCAGATAAGAATTGCAGTATGTGGATGTGAATTGGAGATGCCCTGCAGACTCATAGACTTGAACACATAGTTGCCTGAGATGCCCTCCACAGACTCACACTTCCCATGGTTGCCTGCGACACCCTGCAGGCTCATGTCCTTGAACACGTGGTTGACTGAGCGTCCCACCATAGACTCAGGAGCTTG